TATGAAAAAAACAGCATACAAAGAAGATAAAACTGATGTTCTTCGCTTAATACAGTGTTAATGGTTGCTGCTTACTTCACTGCCCCTATGCTTTAAAAATAAAGTGGATTTCATTTACGCACTTCAGTACCTAGCAGAAAGTGCACTAAAATTATTTTCCCCTCATAAGAACACGCTGTAAAGGCCCATTAAGACATAATTACTACCAAAAAGGAATCTTACATTTCCTTGAGATAAGCTGTGGTAGTGTACTTTGATATTTGACTTCCATTGATTCGGGATTAGAGCAGCACGTTTAGATAATAAGCAGAAGGATCTTAGATAACAGCCTGAGTGAATCATCGGACCATAGTGTTTAGTCTGAGAAAGTGTGTTTATCTGAAGGGCTCTTGGGACTAATACGGTTCCTCTTCAAAGCTTGAAGCAGGGGGTAAGAATCATAGTCCTACAGGTTGGCAGGATAAACATGTCCTGTGATTTGCTAGCAATTTGAGAGATGGATTCCAGTATAGAGCACACTGTTGCTGTCAGGTTGAAAAGTGTCTGCCTGGAAATGAATTCACGCGCACACAGCCCCAGACAAAGGAAAATCTCCCTGAAATGGCATGCCATCACATTTTAAGGCCAATTTTTCAAGTCTCTGACTCACACCTGGGAAATATACTGGTGCACTAAGTTTATCATAAAAAGCCCACATTTTAGCAGACAAAAATTGGTGCAATAATCTCGAAATGTACTGTCTCACTGACAGGTACGGAAATCCTTATTCCTGTGGATTTGCCTGCTTTGTGTCTGAAAACAATTTTGCCTTTTTTAATAGAGTCACAGAGTCATCTCAGATTGGTTTTCAGTGAAGGGAACTCTGCTGCTTTTTTAGTGTTCGGCGTGAGGTTTGAACAGAGAGATTGGGTAATGTGTCATAGAGAGGAAAGCTGCGGCAGGAATAAAAGCTCCTGTGTCAGTCAACAGTTTTATAAATACAGCAGGAGAGATAACTGCTGTGTGTGCTCCATGAAAAGCATACTTCTGGGCTCCAGAAGTAGCAACATATTTTTAAGTTAAAGGAGAGGCTGATAAAACACAAACGAATGAACAGAAGGTTCCTACAACTCTGTGTGGAAGGTTTTTGTGCGCGGTTGGAGCAGCCGGGGGTTGTCGCTCTCTGAGAATAATTGTGAAGGGAACTGAATACAGAATAAAGAGCTTGAGGTCTGAATGTCCTTTCATTTGCACCTACAAGTTTCCTCGAAATCAAAGAGCTTATGTCAATTTGAATCGAATGTATGTAAAAGCAGATTAGTTTTCCGACACCTTGGATAAGAAAGGAGAAATCCCAGAACCACCTCCCCAAACACCACTTCCAAACTCAACAGACAGAAGCACATGGGTGAATTTCAAGGGAGAGTTCCTCAACAAATGTCTCATGGATATGGGTGAACAAGGAAGTTCAGGCCATCTTTATAGATAATCATTTGTGCTTCCTGGTTTCCACTAAGATTTTCCAATACACATCACATGCCACATTGTACATAGCCTTGAGAGTTTTGAGAGTTAAAAGCTAGCAAAATAAACTTCCTCAATTTTGTAAATGTGACCTCAATCTCACATTTACCCTCTGTTCAGTTTTATTTGCTTTTTTTGTTTGTTTGTTTTAGTTGAAATGTAAATGCAAAAAGAAAACTTTTTGTTTAAGGAGATTACTCCTATTTAAAGAGCCAAAGGCATCACCAATAGCTAACTAAAGGAATTACTGATAGCTTCTTCTACATTCACTATGCCATTGAAAAAGAAAAAACAACATCAATTTTTTGTTCATTTTGTTGCTGCACAACAGGTTTTTGGTAGGAATTGCTCAAGAAAGGTCTGTTTATGGCAATACAGCTAAGAGGAGCTACATCAGCAATACCTGCTCTTGAAACTCTCTGAGGTAAACATAACCTTATTCTGTCTGAAGTTGACTGTGGTGAGCAAAGACAGGCTACCCAGCTGGCAGGTGTAGAGGGTGGTGAAAGCAGGTGCAGTGAGTTCAGTGAAGCTTAACTACTTACACTGGCCCTTACATTCATTAACAAAATGCCTCTTGTTGTACCTTCAGCGGAAAAAAGGTATTGGAATAGCACAAAAGGACAAATGAAGATGCATAAAACATGGATCCAGAGTTTATGGAACATCAGTTTGCTTCCTGAGAGAAGCAGTTGGTTGCATTTATTACTGTTTATCTATATGCAAAAGAAGATAAAGATCAGTAACTAGATGAACCATACAAATAGTTTACTAATGTTCCTGTTTTTCACTTTGAATGTTTTTTAACTTCAGAAATTTGAGAACCATAAATGTATTCCTGAACCACCATCTGTGTTTTTAGTGCCTCAAACTGCATCTACCAATTAAAACACCAAAGATTTTTATCTAGTGTCAGGTATGAAATCTCATGTGGATTTTTAGCTCTAGATTGTTAATAACAAAGTATATGAATTATTATTAATTAATTTGGTCAGCGTTGAAGTCTTCAATTACCGTATAGGTACAGCAAGGAAAGGAGAAGATATTTGTTGAAACATATCCTCGAGCATAACAACAAAGTACATTAACTTCAGTTGGTTTCTCTATTGACTTCTTGTGTTTCCCAAATAGGGATGAGTTACAATTTTAGCTCCTTTATCTTCTGAAGTGATTAAAGTCATTATTCAAAGCTAATGATGAAGTATTTATGACTGCGAGGGCACCCAGAGAGATGAGATTTCCATTACATGATTTAGAAGCTGTAACACCAGCTCTAATTTAACACAAAACTTAGGTAAAAAAACTCAGCAAGGCAGCATCAGAGCACACACCATCGACAGCATAAGTGGGTGTCTTGGAGTCACCAAAGTCAGAGCAGAAATTCAGGGTGAGCTTCAGTGAGAGCAACATTAAGTCCTCTGTGAAGAAAGAGGCTATTTCAGCTGTTGACTTCAATGGGAGTTGGATTAGGTCTTGATTTATTCTGGAGCTGTGTAGTAGAGAGGCAACAAATCCAAAGACATCTGCAAAGACAAGCAGCTAAATCCAGGGCACTTAGAATGGACAGTTCCTGAAAAATAGCAGGGAAGGAAAGTGGGAAGGGCTTCCTAACACAGTGACACTGGGACGTTGTTTCAGTGATGAAAGTTGCCACTGGAACAACAGGGAAATTTAAAACAGAGATTTTCTCATATCAGTTCAGCTCAGTGGAATCAATCCAACTGAAGTAGAATAGCTATGACCAGGCTACACAGTGGCCTGGGATGATGTATCTGCAGAGTGTGGTGCTTCTGCCACAGCTCTCTGCTTGCTATGAAGAAGAGTGGCTGAGGGAACAGGGGAGATTTAAATGGGATATTAAGAAAAAATTTCTTCACTGAAAGGATTGTCAATCACTGGTGCAGGCCTCCCAGGGCAGTGGTGGAGTCACCATCCCTAGAGGGATTGAAAAGACATGTAGATGTGGCACTTGGGTACATGGTTTAGTGGTGGGTTTGGTAGGGCTGGGGAATAGTTGGACTCAATTATCTTAAAGATCTTTTCCAACCTTAAAAATTCCATGATTCTATGAAATACCTGCACTGTATTTTATTACTATCATTAGATGCCAAGGACCTCTAAAATTATGGCTCCTTCTAGAAACAAATCTCAAAACTCTCCATCTTTACTATTACTCTTAGCAGCTTTCACTGACTGCATTATTCTCATTTCATTTCTTACCTTACAATTGTCTGTTCTGATAAAATTCTTAATCTGGGCAATCATATCCATACCCCATAAAGTAAGAATGAGGCTTAGTTCTAGTTTTTTTATATGATCAAAAATAAAACAAAAATGCAAAAATTATACAGTTTTATGGGGGATTTTTTTCCCAAAATATGAACATGCCTGAAAATAGATGAGTTTCCTTAAATTCCTGGCAGCAGACTGCATTCCCCACCATTTGCAGTGCCCAGATCAGGTACACCCAGACATCTGAGGAGTAGATATCAAGGCTTCCAGGCTTCTACTTCCTAAGTCTTTGTTTGCTTATTTGTTTTAAGTACCTGTTCTCCTTATTGGTTATCTTGTTCCTGTACAAGGTTCACACACATTATGGAAACTGGTAAAATTTTCGAAGCCTTCAGACAGAACCTATAACACATCTCAGGAAAAGATCAACAACTGGCAACAAGTGTTTGCTTTGATTAAATAGTAAAAATATGTTGAGACTGAAAGAGGATGAACTGAGTCAGGTAGAAGAAATTCTTGTATTTAACTCTTTTGTCTTCATTATTGTACGTGAAAATTAGTTCCCTGACTGATGTTCACATGAGCACATACATGTTGTCATAGAAATCACAGAAACAGAGAATGGTTTCTGTTGGAAGGGACCTTAAAGATTGTCTCGTTCCAAAACCCTGCCATGGGCAGGGACACTTTCCACTAGATCAGGTTGCTCCAAACCCCGTAAAATCCCTCCTTGGACACTTCCAGGGATAGGGCAGCCACAGCTTCTCTGGGCAACCTGTATGTGTGCCACTTTTGGCATTAAGATCTTTTCCTTCTTGGTCAGCATTTGATATTTAAATATAGTGTAGGGAGGAGAAGAGGTGTAACGAGATCTACAAGTAATCTACAAGTAAGACCAGAAAATTCCTGAAGTATACACAGAAAAGCAGGAATGAGAAAGACATAAGACAAACTAATAACAGCATTTATTCATTCCATTATTGTGATAGATATTCCTGTAAGAAAAAGAAACAAACAGTTTTTTGTCTTTTGCTTATTTAAACTTTGCTTATTTAAACTCTTCTCCTAAAATTTGGAAGTTAAACTATGCTATACTGCAGCACTGCTTTAATCTTCTCCTTTGTTAATTCCTCGGTGTTATTCTGCCACTGGTACTTTTATGTTTTAATAGGGAACTTCTTTTCTAGCTGTGTGACCCGTAAATCTGAGGTTAAAATCTTTGAGTTTATCTCTGATTGAATGATTCACATTGAAAAATTACTCACCTGCCCAGCAGTGTCTAGAATGTCCAAATAGGCTGGTTCATCGTCAATTCGGACTTGAGTTTTATAGGCATCCTCTGAAAGACACGGTGCAGTTTGATTAAGCATATGAGTGGCTCAGAGAATGGAAAATGAAATAGTTTTGCCAGTTTGGAGTAGGCTTTTCAAAAGCTCTTCAGTCTGACCTAACTTTGCTTTACTTCAAGTCAACAAGTCCCTTTTTGAAATCCTATCATCACTACAAACTACTAGCAAAAGGGAGTCCTTTCTATCACATACCTCAAAATATAAAAATTAAATTTATCTTTCTTTAAAAGGGTAGCACAGACCACAAGTGCTGTTTAAGCCACAAAGATTCAGAGATACTGTGCTGGTGCTATGCAGGAGAGAGGTTTTTGCTTACCACAATGATCCTTCCACAGAGCTTTTCTAGCACATAATTTCAATTTAAGAATTGTCTAAATTATTGGGATAGACTCGTTATGGCTGAAGGGGGCTCCTGCCTCAGGTATGTCAGAACAATTATTTAAACTTCTTTATATCTCCAAGAGAGGCTGAGGATAGATTTTTTTAAAACTAAATTCTGTAATCAGTGTCCTCACACTTTTCATTGCTGGGGGTGGAGAAGGAAAAACTCTCTTTTATGGGCTGTTCCCTTAGCTCGTGATTTTGTCAACCTAAATTTAGAAGAAGAAAAACAAAGAAAAGGTGGATTCCCATTTGTACAAGATGTTTTCCTCACATTTCAATTTCATTCCCCTCTCAACATTTGCATTTTCTTCATAAGATTAAAAGGAGCTTAGATACTGTTCCATGTTTATACTTGAAATTGTCTCGGAACTTATCTATGTTGTTTAATTAAACAATAATGTAGAGCAGTCTGAGTGGGTTTTGTGGCTGACATTATGCATTGGCTGTGCACTGAGGCATGAAGACAAGTGCTTTTGATGTGTCTGAGAGGTGTCATTAATCATCATCAGAATATAGCTAGGCCTATCCAAACAGTCAATCCTGCCAGAGACCCTCAGGACTGGGCTCTTGATAAATGTTGAGATAATATTGGGATTATAATATGGGATTATACTGCAGGTGGATGTAATTCTCAAGACATTCCAGTTTGTGCCGTAATATGTGTATTGCATCATATAGCACTTTATAAAAGCATGTGAAAACCTGCTTTCGACCTGCACAAGAGAAAAACTAAGGCATTTGGATGCAAATGGTTCTGGATGACCTTAACTCAGGACCCCTCATATGCAGCCAGAGAATTGCTATTTTTAATGACATTATCACATACGATATTTTCCACGACTCTCCTCTTTACTCTGGGCCTCAGCTCAGCAAATTAATAGGCATGTGCCTTGCTTTAAACAAATACCTAATCCACTTGATATTGGGATGGCTCAGAGACTTAATTAATTGCACGATACGTTGCCATGCTGAGAAAGCCAGACCAAGCCAACCAACAGATGTTTTGGTTAATAGATCTTTTTGTAGGGATTGCTGAATAAGAAACTCTGTGCCAAAGAGAGGTCATATAGAAGGAACTGGCTACTTGCAGTTTAAGTAATCTGTTATCACAGTGGTATCTGCAGTAGATTTATCTTCTTCTTTCTTTTTTTATAATTTTCTTGTTAACTAAAAAGTGAAAACAAAATATGGAAGTATGCAAAATCAATCATGGTATTTCCTTCATATGAAATCTATTAACACTATCAAGTATTATTGATATACTTCCATGCAGGTGGGTGCCCATTTGCATTACATTACTGTGTACATAATTAACATATGACTTGCATAAATTTAGCTTGCACTTTTGGCTCTGCAGCTGGATTCTCTGAAGCCAATGGTCCTACTTCTCCCTTCACTTAGACCAATGTGAATTTTAATACAGCAGCTTTAAAACAGTTAACGCAGAGAGAGATTTGCCGACATAAATTCAGCTTGGATAAAAATGAATCTAAATAAATCCTGTCTTATTTGCTAAGGAAATGAATTAGGAATTCAGAGTTAGTTATAACTAGAAGACCCACTGGCCTTTGAATATAAGTTACAGCTTTCAGTAAGTAAATGTAAGAGATCTACCCTGCTGAGCTACTTCAGGTGTACCCCGATACCACGTCACTGTCATCAGTGAACTGTCAACTGCTAAAATTGAACCCTTTTCCCTTGCAGAGACAATGCTGAATGCACAAGCACATTTTGTCATTTTCATTTAGTTTGTTTTCCCAAACTACTGACCTTAAAGCATTTCACAATGAAGTGCCAGAATCACTGTCCCAGTCTGATCTTTGATATATGCTAATGTCTTCGGTTGGTGGTGGAGAAACATGTCGTGTTAAGCATTGACCAAGCACATGAATCTAAATGGTTTTCTAGGCAAATGGATTTGGAAAATGCTTTCCACTTACAGGATTTGCTTTTGCCCTGGGAAATGAAGAGATGAAACTGAGAGGAGTTATGAGTTTCCCTTGTAACATTCTCTCTCTGCATATGTGCAAAAAGCACAATAACACAGATAATATAGAAAAGCTTAAGTATGTCCTTACTTGGGGTGTGCTAAGCTGGGGATATTCTCAAGCATTTGAATGGAAAACAGATGAGAGTTTTAACTCTTATTTAAAGCACATATAAGGGAAGTTCTAAAGCCCACAATTACCAAAGAAATCACTATTTTGAACCAACACCCTCATACCAGAGATCACATTGTAGCAGCCACTTATGAGCTGATACCTTCCTAATGTTCAAACCCAGTCATTCCTTTGAAGGACACTATCTTTACATTTATCCTGTGGATTCACTGATTCCTTGAGTTATTAGGATAATGTATACCTTCTAAGGTAGGAGGTAGAAGGAAAATGCATAAATTGAAAACTATATTTCACATATCATGTGATATGGAACAAGACAAGCCAAGAGTGGAAGGGTACTATTTAGTCCTGTTCTACAATTAGAACTTTTAAACTGGGATTTAATATCAGAAAGTAGTATAAATAGAGGCTCAGCTCTCTTTCCTGTCTGTTACACAGACAAACATCTTTATTTTATTTAGACTACGAGGCAGAGGCATCAACCCAGAAAGAAACCACCTTCCAGAGATCAAAAGTTGGGTGTGTTTGTATACTGGACCTAGTTAATATGTTTTTGGTTTATTTGTAGCTATAATGTTAAGTACAAACCCTGGGTATCTTTGCATGTTTCCCGCAGGATTTCAGAAGGGAATACTGTGTGGATAACCTTGTAATTTTAGGCAGCATTGTACAAATTATGGTCACATTAAGGAAAGAGAAGCCCTGAGACCCTGCTGTAAAGAGCAGGAACATGCTGTTTGCCTGTGGACAGAGAAGTGAAGATGTTCCCCTGAAATAACATGTGAGTGTATATAAAAAAAAAAAAAGCAGGAAAGTCTTCACCATGAATACTAACAAAATCACTCTCCAATATCCTCTCTTTAAAAATTATTCACATTATTACAAATGATGTCCTGTGTATTTACACTACTCACAATGTTTGAGTACTTTACATTTTCTTTCACCTAATTAATTTATAATATGAGTATAATGCTCCTTTTGAAGTTAATTTGGGGGCTAGTAAGCCACTTTACATCCTACAGTTCTAAGGAGGGTTATTTATTAAAAGGCCAAAGTACAGCTGCTGCTTCAGTAAAGTATTAAGACAACATACAAAACAGACATCAGGCAATAAATCACACTATAACTATGTATTTCATATTAAGTTCAAGATTAGTCTTTTTCTGTGAGGTTAACTGTAAAGTCTCTATTTTTGGTTTAGGTAATATGTAGCAGAAAGATAGGGTATTATAAGAAAAAGACTGTAAATGGAGTTTATTCATATTACTGTAAAATCTAACAATGTTTCAAACACTGACTGAAACAATGGTCATTTTTTAGGGTACTAAAGAGAAAAATGAAACAAAACTCCTCCATCCTTTCAATCTGAATAATATGCGAATATATGAACTGTATAGTTAAAGAGAATTTCTTTTTTATTTTTTTTCCACACGTAATATGGACTTTTTAAAAATCTTATTTCCTATGAAGATTAAAAATAAAAATGAAAATAGGTAAAAAATTCATTACAAAGGACAATACCATTTGGATTCCATTATTACTGACCATTTACTGTTTTGCAGGGTGGGAGAAAAACAAACAGAGCACCAATTGTTTTTGGAATGGTACTTGTTCCTTTTCCCCTATATCTCATTTAAACCATGAAAAAATGTTTTCTTCAAAGGTTTTTTTTCTAACTTCTCTTTCTTAATTGTTTGATTGCCTATTGCAGTACTACGGCAGAAAGGAAAAACAAAATCATTACAATTTTTAAGCTTTTTGATATCTGGCTTTTTTTTTTGTGTATGTGTGTATAAAATTAATACATTCTCTTTTTTCAGCTTTCCTTTTTTTATAAGACATCATTCTGGAGACAGAGGTACAGTAATTAATTCAAAGCTGTGTTTCAATCAGTTATCTTAGCACTGGAGAAGCTGAATTCATAAAAAATATATCAAAGCATTTTTTCAGCTATGAGCAGGTAACTGCTTCATGACAAATAGATTTGGATGGTGTACAGTTTAAAGGGGAGTTGGAATGGGCTTTTCATCTGCATTACAGACAAGTTCCAGTCCCTGAAATGTAGGTCAGCTGCTTCTTTCTTCCATTTGTTAATTCTGCCTACATGCCTTCTAAATAAATACTCTCTTCTGTCTTATACAATATTAATTGCAGTTAAAACCAATCAGATTCATATATGTAGATGAGCCAAAAGATGGTTTATTTGGCTGAGGAGGTATCAAACCAGCAGAAGGAATCCAAGCTCAGTCAGCCACACCTGGAATTCTGCCTTTTGTTGTTCTTACTGTGTGCCAAGGAAACAGCAGGAGATACAGCTCTTGTTGTGCTTAGATTATCTGCTACAAACGCATTTTAATTTAGCAATGCTCCTGAATTTAGGATGGTCATGAGTCTTTGGCTGGGTGGGTGCTGTTTCTATTTGCAGCAAGGAATTTTTGAATAGAAAGAGTGGATGAACAGAGATGTAAACCACTGTACCAAATACT